AGTTTTTAGTTTTGTTTCAGGTACCTCTTCAGCGAAGGGGAAGGAGTCGAAATGGTAGCAGCGCGTCGCACACACGCGATTTTCCGCATATGAGATTTCTGGGATTTGTACTATGACATTGTTTTATCATGACATGACTTGACTACTGATACTCTGGTTTTTGATATGAATTGATACTATCTTTGTTTTTAGACAAATGGTTTTATAAGTGTTATATTTAAAAATGAAAATTTCCGGTCATGATTTTTGGGATGTTACACAAAAACACGCTCACTCCCTGTATTGATCGCTTCCGCGAACCAGCTAGCACCTCATACACCATGACGTGACGAGCATATCGCCACGTCGTGGGAACTAATCTTGCACAACTTAATGGATTAAGCTCTTAATCCATTAAGCCACACACTTATCTCCTCCAGAGGGCTTACTTACACCCAATGAGTAATGAAAATCGTTTATTTATAGTCATGCATGTCCAATACATGTATTTCCCCAAGATAAGTAATAACAATGGAGGAAATGAGGTCAAACATCTCATGCATGAGCCAAAACCTAACCAAATCTCATGTGTGGATCACTAAGCCTCAAAGGACCTCAACGATCCATAAAGTTTCCAACTTTATGGAATCCAGCCACTCCAACTCTCCCAAACATGGAGCAAATGCACAAAAATCCTAGATCTAGAAGCATAGAACATAAAACTCGGAACCTGAACACTCAAAAAGGTCTAGAGTAAGTGCTAGAAGATGATGATGAGACTTACAAGTTGGATCTATGCACCAAGGATGCTTCCTCCTCCTTCAAGACACCAAAAACACTAGAAAAGGCTCAAGAACTCAACAATAAAGGATAAGGTTTCGTTGAAAGGGTTGGAGGCTGAAGAGGATCCCCTAAAACTTGAGTTTAGGGAATTAAATATGGAAGAAACCTTAAAAGATCATGGGCTTGGGCTGCAGCTGCTGCCACATTGTGGCCTTCCACTCGTCACGTCATGGTAGCCATCCCAGATACACATTCATAAATTTGGAATGCCACATCATGGGGCTCCAACCTGCATGTCTTGGTACAAGGTTTTTCCCTAAAACCTTTATTTAAATTTTCCAAGCCCTCTACCGATCTATCTTGGAAAATGGGTGTTACAATTCCCCCCCCCCCTCACTTAGATTTCTTTCTCAAATTCTATCCTTACAATTTACTCTCATAGCACCCTTCAAACTCCTTGTGGGTTCTCAAAACCCGATTCCTTTAACACGGGTCGATATCGCTTCGAATGCCAGCATCTGCAATCATTTACAAAAGGGTTCCAAAACCAGGGTCATAATTCAATCTGAGCAGAAACTCCAGGATCTGAATCACATCTAATATAACATCTCTTAAGCAGTCGACCTCCTTCCAACACTTGTGCCAACACTATTCTTAGCGAGAAATTTATGGCCTGACAAAAAACGAATTCCATCATAACACTACTATCCCACAATGAGCAGAACTAACTCTCTTTCCTATAACTTGTAGATCCAATGTCATACCTAATATTTAGGTAGACAGATCCATCCCATACACCACCCATGCTGACCAAAAGCTTACATATCTAATCCGACCAAGACCTCCTGACCTTGCACCGCCTACCAAATAATTGAAGAATGAATCTACAACCAACACCATAGCGGACAACCTCACATAATGATGTACCAATGAAAATCGTAACAAAATCCTAACATAAAAAAATACACTAGCCTATACATCCACCATGCCGAACGAAATCCATAGATCCGATCGGTCTAAGATTTTCCCGGCGACGCGCCGTTCTTCTATGGAGTCGAATGTTAAACCCATGGCCAACCGTTGTCATCGATAACCTAGAATATATATAAATTTAATAACGAATTTGATCGAAATACAATCGATCACATACGAAACTAGACCATATACTCACTTGGATCTAACAAACCTGATCTGCTATACACTACCAACACTCGGACTTATCCCCGACCTGTCAATCACTAACAGCTCTCAGGTTTACCCCTGATCCGCTAACCACTAAAAACTCTCTCATCCTAACATAGGTACACAACGAACCTGCAAAAACTTAACTCCCCTATCAGGCCTTTGGTTCGTGACTCAGATTTCTAGGTCCCGATTAAACAAGAATAGACAAGGAAGTCCTCCTCACATACCTCACCCTGAGGTCCTAACATCCTAGGATCCTAAATCATGATGAAGCCCTACATAATGCTAACAGAACTGTAAATAAGACAATTCGAAAGGAATTCAACAATAGCGATGAGCCTGACACAAAAATCAGAAGATTAAGCATGTACACGAAATTCCTGAACTTGAGCAATCTGGTTTAAAACCGCATTCTGGCATAAATTCCTTCCGCTACGAATCATTCAAACGCGGACAACACAAAGCTAAAATTCTAACTCAAACGCGGACAACACAAAGCTAAAATTCTAACTCAAACTAACTAGAGCACTACTTATTTTTCCCCTACTAGTGCTCAAACACACTATGCCTTCACCTATTAGTTCCTTATTAGCCTTGAGATTCCTTCTGATTCTTATACGGGTCTTGTGCTTTTAGTTGTACGAGCCCATACTAACTTCCACACCTATCCGTAGTCGACTCAGAATTCACCTCAAGGTCCTAAGTCACTGCACTAGACCACCCTTAGGTGTACTAGCACCCACCTGCTCCTAACATCCGCAACTAACTTCCTAGGCGCTCCTCAAAGGATTATCCTCAAACACGTTCCCACACTGCAAGAATTTCCATCGACATCATTGGTTACCTTGTGCATGCATGTTGTACATAATACATGATCAAATAGATTGTCGAATAAATGACTCTAAACCAAGTTGTACTTCAATCCCATGAATTTCGTATGAGGAACTTTGATGACGACTCTACAGTAAAAGATTTTCAAGTCTCTTCAAAACCAAAAGGTAAAGAACATGTATTACCCTTATCTGAAACTAAATGTTGTCACTGCCACAAATATGGACACATTATGAAGCATTGCAAGAAATGCAAAGAGGATGAAATAGAAGATGCCAACTTCATAAATGAAACAAAGGAAGGGGGCAAAATGTTCATGGAAATGGAGGAACTTGAAACTCTAGTTGATGGTGAATGGTATAAGGATGATGATGACCTTATGAAAAGAAACAAGGTGATGTTGAATGTACCCATGGATGAAAATCTTCATAGAAAAGTCAGGAATGATGATGAATGTTTCTGGTAATCTAGGTTAATGGGGCATGTGGAAAAGTAACCTAGATTGTTAGTTGGTATGTTAATGTCTGTTAAATATGTTAGTTACTGCTACTATTTTATGTTAGTTCTGTTAAAAATGACAGTTACATATGAACCATTATATTGGTTCATGAAACGTTGTGATGGTTGGGATATACTCAACTGTTTCTGGTCTTGTATATATAAGTTAATGTATTGATTAGGAAGTTGGTTAACGTATTATCATATATAAATAAAAGATTTAAATTTGGTGTATCTTATCTTCCATTTCAAATCCTTATCTTTATCCCCAACAAAATGTCGATAGTTATTTTCATTTTGATTAATAATAGTCTTTTTAAAGCAACTCTTAAACCCTTGAGCAGTAGGTTTAGCTACACTTGCGCCACAAATAATCCACTCGTCGAAACTGAGTTGTTTCGATTGTGTTATGGTTCAACCAGGAAGTTGTGGATGATTGTTACCATTTTGTGGAAGTCTTTACCTAGGAAGTTCGAAGATATCGATTTCTTTCTACCTGTAGATGCTACATGTAGACTCTCTACCCACCTGAGGTCTATTTATTGAAGTTGTATAGTTTATACGTTTTTCTTTAGGTGATTTGGAAGCAAATTAACTCCAAGGTCTTTAAGAATCATACATAGTCTTATAAGCTCTTGGTGGATGATGTTCGTGGGTTGCCTTTTCATTGGAAAACTTAGTGAGAAAAAATGAACTTGATTGGTGTTGTAATCCATTTGCCGAACCCGAGCCATTTCTTTATTCCTAACTTCTTGCTAGCTCATTTTTGTTAATATATTTCTTGATTGTTCAAAAAAAAGACAAAAAATATTCATCGGTATAACCGTAAACTCGTCTAGCTAGATTTCGAATAAAACACATGTTCCGTTAATATATCAAAGTTTATGTTCTTTTACCATATAAAAATTACTCCCTCCGTCTCAAAATTATTGTCAACAGACAAAAAAACACATACAAAAAAAACATTAATTACCACTAATTTTATTAAATGAAATGACAGTTTTATCATTTTGTTGCATTTAATTTAATGGTAGGTAAACTAATAGTAAGAGTACTTTAATAAAAGAGATATTTATTTTTAAAAGTATGCTATTATTTTAGGACAAATTAAAAAATAAACATGAATTATTAATATGGAACGAAAAGAGTAAAAAAAAACAAGAAAAGAGAGATTAGTTTACATTCTAACATTATAATAAGCTTGATACCTTTGCTTTACATTAACAAAATGTTATGAAATGAATTATTTAATTTGAAGCTGTTGATCAAACGCTAATTAGACATTTAGCGAAAAATAATTGAGAAAAAAACCAAATAAGAAGTGAAAATAAGCAAAACACACAGTTAGGGTCTTCGTCAGTAGCGGGTGGGTGGCATATAAATTTACCCGCAAAAATCTTCCCCACCAATTTAGCCCTATCCCGACCCTGAAAGACAAAGACAACTTACACTTTTTTTGAAATAACAATCACTCAACTCTCTCTCTCTCTCTCTCTCTCTCTCTCTCTCTCTCTCTCTCTCTCTCTCTCTCTCTCTCTCCCCCCACTCTTTCTCTCTCTAGCTCTCTCTTTCCCACTCTCTGTCCCTCTAGCTCTCTCTTGGCCTTTACTTACCCATAAGCCATCATCTCTCATCATTAGGGTTTTGTTTCTCTCTCTTGTCTCTTGATGTTGTTCTTGTTTGTTTTGTCCTATATAACCCTATTTCTATGGCATTTTCCCATTGGACCCTTTTCATCTTTCCCTTTTTAGCTTCTTCCTCTTGAATCAAATGCTTCACATCGGCTTCAATTCCCAAGATCAGACAACCTTAATCGTCTTGTCTTCCGTCTTTAATTCGTCCCCAGTTTCTTCCTGCATGTGTGGAGCTTCCCTACTTCAATTCATCGAAACCATAACTAATTCAATTCTTCATCAATCCTCATGAAACGGACATCAGATCTCTATTGCTATCGATATCTCAATCTAGAAGCTTTCATTCTTGAATAACTTATCAAGAACAATCGGTATGGACTCGCTTCATTAAGGGTCTTTCAAAATAAGTTTTTTTGAATTATTTTATGATATATTACTAGAACAATGATTGATCTTACAGCATGCTCATTGTGTATATGAACAAGAGATTATATATACTACAGTGCGAAAAAGTATATCAACACAAATTAGTGCCACCTTTGTGCGTGTGTCTGCTAGAATTATGAGTTTTGATTAATTATTACGTCTCCAATTGAATTTCACCACAATGGATCGATTCGCATGCTCTATCCTCCCTCTTTTTCTTTATTATAAACGAGGATGGATCAATTAAGCTTTGCAGTATTTCTGTGATCATTAAAAAAGAAACACTCCGTCTTCATCAATAATTGGATATTGGATATAGATATATCTGCATGTTTGTTGTGGGGAAAATCTGCGTCCTTTATCACATACAATACCCGATTATCACAGTTCCAAGTCTCAATATGCCTTCTAACATTACTTCACTTTTCTTGTTCTTTTCGAAGTATGTTATAGTTCATGGATTAAGGTGTTTGTTATCATGAACAATAACTCATCATGGTGGATCGATATGCCACATAAAATTTCTCTATGTAGACTGAAAGAGTCAAATGAATCGGCCGGTTTTTTAGTTAAGTATTTTATAAACTTGAAGTTTGAATATTTTCTCTTTTGCACTTTGTTCTTAAGCATATATAACACGATGTAATATAATTGATTCAAATGGTCTAAGTTTTCTTCATCTTAAATTCTGGAACTATATTTATTTAGAGTAATGTTACCTTATTTTGATCAAAAAATTTCTTAATTAAGCATGTATAATCTTTAACATCAAAAGTACATATAATGCATGTATTTCTTTTCTTATATATATATATATATATATATATATATATATATATATATATATATATATATTCATTTCAAAATACGAATTCCCCTTCTATTCTTCTCTTATTACATGTCTTGTTTCTATATTTAGGGACGTTATAGAGTTAGCATTGTTATTTGCTTTCATGAGAGAGAGAGATCTAGAGAGAGAGTGGGAGAAATTAGATTCCAGCAGAAACTAAGGCTTTCATTTTTGATTAACATTGTAATTTTAAAGAAAGAGATTTCATCCGTGATCATCAAATCCAGGACCTTTGGACTTCGTAGCTAGGGATCGGTCTTGAATTTTCATGGGTCATGAATAATCCCATCAGCCTTAATTAGTTTTTTCTTGTATATATAGTTCTGATGTTAAACTTCATGTATCCCTTCAAATACAAGCATTGGATCAATATGGAGTACTGAGAGATCTACTTTTTCTGAAGTTCTAGAAAATTGACATCATTACTCGCATCTACCAACATGTTGATTCTTATATCATCGAAAAACAATGGCTTCCCTTCTTCTCTCGGGGTTTCTTTTTGTTCTTTCTCATAAAATTTACATTAACTGATCAAAAAATCATAGTTGTACGTTACACCATACCATGCAGAACTTACTTTTGTTAGTAATGCGTTATATATTTGCTGTATTTAATCAACCATATTTCAATGCACATTTAACAAATTGCTGATCATACAAAGTAAAATAGATCGCATTAATTATCGGAGCCTGCAAATGGTTCTATTTGAGTACTGGACTTGAACTTTCATACACTTGTTATTCGAAGGGCTAAGCTACCCTTCATACCCTTCACTCATTCAGTCTCTCTTTATGTACATCAAAAACTATTATTTAATTACAGAATTGAAGAAATATTATTACACTGATCAGATCAAATACAATATCTTTTATGTACAGTATTTTTTTTTTTCATAACTAAATTGATCGATCAAATCAAATTGGATTGCATGCATGCAGGTTCTAATTTCTATAAGATCGAGGAGATATGAACACTTTTTCACATGTACCTCCTGGTTTCCGGTTCCATCCAACCGATGAAGAACTTGTTGATTACTACCTTAGGAAAAAGATCAACTCAAGAAGGATCGACCTAGATGTCATTAGAGATATCGATCTTTACAAAATCGAGCCATGGGATCTTCAAGGTAGACATATTTAAATGAGTATAAATACTCATTCTTTAGATTCAAATAATTTTAACAACCATATGATAATGTATATATTCTAGCTACCAACATAATGCTAATTTTCAAGTTTAAATATAGAGCTGTGCAGCCTAGGTACCGAAGAACAAAACGAATGGTATTTTTTTAGTCATAAAGATAAGAAATATCCAACTGGAACTCGCACGAATAGAGCTACAACAGCAGGATTCTGGAAGGCTACAGGAAGGGATAAGGCAATTTACTCGAAGCAAGATTTGGTTGGGATGAGAAAGACATTAGTCTTTTATAAAGGTCGTGCTCCCAATGGACAAAAATCAGACTGGATAATGCATGAATATCGCCTTGAAACTGATGAAAATGCAACCACAACTCAGGTGATCACTGCTGACTTTCTCTATTTCAAAAACAAAAAAAAAATTGAATTTTCTTCATCACCAATGGATCAGAGTTCTTTATTCTATCAATTAACTAGATTCACTTCTCTTGATCACGAAATCAGGAAGAAGGATGGGTGGTTTGTAGGGTGTTCAAGAAAAGATTACCGACAATGAGGAGAGCAAGTGAACATGAATCGCCAATTTGGTATGATGATCATCACGTCTCGTTCATGCCAGAAGTTGATTCGCCAAACCAAAACAACTCTCAATCGCACTTGGTTAACCATAATTACCAATACCCTTATGGTTCTTGCAAGAAAGAATTAGATCAGCTTCAAAATTACCAGATTACCCCTGATCACTTCCTCCAACTCCCTCTATTAGAGAGTCCAAAACTGCTCCCCACCTGTAATTCTTCCATGCCCATGTATGGTGTTAACATAAACCATGCTGGAAGTATCAACTATCACTCATCCTCACTCACACAAGATAAAAACAACAACAACAACAATATTCATGATAATCAGGATCAAAATGTAAACAATCCAGTTATGGATTGGCGAGTTCTTGACAAGTTTGTCGCATCACAGTTGCTTAGCCAAGGTGATGTTTCAACGAAGGAAAATAATTACTCGAATGTGAAAGAGAACAGTCCCATCTTCCATTCACACAATGATCATGACGAATCAAATTCTGAGCTCATCACACATCTGAACAAGCAAGAACACGAACTGTTGAGCGTGCCAGAAGATGATGCATCAAATTCTATCTCCAGTTGTCACATAGATCTGTGGAAATGAAGAAAAAGATCGTTCTTCTCCAAGTTATTAATTTGCAAATATAGAAGCAAATTTGAATTGTTTATGTAAATAATAAAGATATAAAGTGCTATATATACATGTAACGTTATTAACATTTATACCTGGTAAGACAATATTCCCTTAATTAATTAGTGTGAATTAAGTTAATGATATCATAACTAAAACTCAAGGGACTGTTTGATGAATAGTATATTTTAGGCATGGGGGTCGTCTTAATTGTTGTGTGTCTTATGATTATTACTTGGGATAAAAGCATTATTTGTTATAAATGTAATGGGCTCTTATAATCTGACAGACGCATGCATGCTCTATTTTATGTTTTTCACATTTTCTTTATTCAAGCTTTAGAGTATCATATATCATTCATCATATTGTTGAGAAGCACTCGATGGTGAACCACAGTAGATTTTTCAGTTTTTGCTCAGTGCGTGCTCCATTTATTTGACAACGATCATGCAAACTCTCTTTGGCTAAAAGGATCTTCTATATATACGATGAAAGAAATACAACCAACCCTCACGTATATATTAAGCAAAAAGTTATAAAAAAGATGTGTCATGAGTTAACACAAACATCTAGTGTAAGAGACAACACATGGGAAAAAGAGAAGCGTGCATACATAGATACATGTACTGATACAGGCATACATGCATATGTAGCTAGGGTTTCTACATTTAGAAATATGTTTACAAATATTCAGCTTTTTTAGGGTACTCAAAAGGAAATGCAGTATGCTTATTGCTAAAGTTTGCATCTACGGAGACACGGATAGATAGGGTTTGATGTGAGTGTTTGTGTCTGTGTATGTGTGTGTGTGTGAGGGAGAGAGAGAGAGAGAGAGAGAGAGAGAGAGAGAGAGAGAGAGAGAGAGAGAGAGAGAGAGAGGAGAGAGAGAGAGAGAGAGAGAGAGAGAGAGAGAGAGAGAGAGAGAGAGAGAGAGAGAGAGGAGAGAGAGAGAGAGAGAGAGCGAGAGAGAGAGAGAGAGAGAGAGAGAGAGAGAGAGAGAGAGAGAGAGAGAGAGAGCGCTTGATGATTATGCCAACAATCAATCAACAGAACTTTCCTTAGAAGGGACAGCGAAATTATCAATTTCTTTTTCAGAATTTTGACATTGCCTTGTCCTAAAAGTAATCTTCTAAAAGTAATAATGGAATGTCTTTTACTATTTGAATTTTATATTCAGTGTAGAAATGCAACGAAAAAAAATGTTATTTCCCATAAATATGTAGTTATTAAAAACAAAGGAGTTATAGGAAAACTTATCATCGATGTCTAACCTGTAATAAAACCAATTATACACGAGAATTGCATTAAAATTTTAAAACAGCCAAGAGAATTATAGGAAAAATTATCATCCATATATTTTGTTTTTGGTTTCTTTTGCGCATGCTCTTATACGGGAGTAGCTTCCTACCGTACAGTAGGGTTGATGACCAGCCTATCTCTCTTGTTCTATTTGTATGCAGACTAGGATATTGTCGTTATTGTTTTTTACTAGAACCATAAATAGTTAAATACAGTGATTAACAAATGTTTAAGGTAAAAATGATGATGGATGTCCTAAAATTATCATGTTAATAAACTAGAAATCTAGCTAGTAATAGAAAAAAGGTTTAAAATAACTTATTGTTTATTTGCCAATTTACCCGTTGTTCGATAATAATTAAATTAATAAAAATTCATTTTTAATAGAAATAATTTGTAAAAATCTAAAACGATATATATAATGCATGAAAACTTATATACCTTAATTTTTCCGCCTTGACAGTTTCTCGATGTCGGGTAAAATGGTTACCAATTTCAAGCTTCTAATCATATATAATACGAACTAAGAATGTTACAAACGTCCAAACACATCTCATCACTATATTTTTGGCAACATACAGTTCCGATGCTACATTAGGCATTAGTGACGCTATAGGGACCAAATGAGAATTAAGTTCTCAATATAATTGTGTACATGAGCATGAGTAGGCTTAGTAGGAATTTTCAGTGATAAGGTTGTTGTTGAAGTAATAAAGAGCATGGAAAGACCCCTGATGCTAGGCAAAACATTTTCGCTGCATTTGCAACAGGAAGAATATCGCAAAAGAAGAGTAGCAAACTCAGACATATAGATATAACTACCGGTCATAACCATCATAACAACCAGTTCAAGTAATATAAACGTAAGCATGAAAAAGTTTCTGAAGATCAGCGACAACACTCATAGGTCTAATTCCAAGATATATACTCAAGCGGGATCTTGACTCTTGCCTGATCATTGTGAGAGTGCCTGTTGGCCATTAGTGAGGACTATTGCCATTGCTAATATTCAAGTAGTTTACATTTTGGCATGCATGTATTATAATAAGTGGTAAGATTTGTAGGAGAATATGGTGACAATGAGGACGCGACTACTGAGCATTTAGCGTTCATACAAGCAAGCAACAGTATTCTACCATACGTGGCAAAACTAGAAGCATTAGAACCGGGCGTTCATGAGCAGATGATGTGGATTACTAGCAGAGCTTATATGTGCATTAGTGACGCAAATTGGCGTCAATAAACAGTACACGCTGAGCATGTATGGGCCTCTAATGAGTGTGTGGGAAAACTCAAAAGACATAAGCGACAGACAGACGGCTGTCGCTAAAGATATATGTGGAGTTGTTGGTTTGCACTGCAAAAAAGCTCTAAAGATATATGTGGAGGTAGTGGTCTAATGAGCATGAATAGTTTCATGTTGAGTGGAAAATCTTATAAACGCATTACAATTAAAAGTCGCGAAATGAGCAGTTTTCAACTAGGTTGTACACTAGCATGCATAGCTCTCAACCATATATTTTCGATTATCAAACTAAACACAGCTTGGTAGCATATGGATTATGGTTATCTAAACTCGACAAATGAATTCAGTGCTTAAAGAAAATATGCACATGACAATAAGAAATTCAAGGAGATCAATAACATATTATCAGCAGTAAATTAGAGCGTACAATGAAGGACGAAGAAAGAACATGATGGGGCTGGAGAACTTGGAGCTGAGAATGAATCCAATTAATAAGAGAAAAAAAAAACAGAAGAGAGTGGTACTTTTTGTGACAGAATTGAAGTGGATCAAACCTAGAGTGATTTGATATGTATGTTTGGAGTACAGATATCAAATCTATATAGAAGTGGATATAGAAAAGGTAAGAAATGGTGGGGGAGTCAAATTTGAAGTGTTGAATAGCCAACATGAGTACTCATTGGAGTTGTCTTGTGAATTCATGGACACTCATGCACGAATTGGGGGCACAAAGATGCAGGTTGACCAGCAAGAAGGTATCCTAGGATAAAAGTAGCTAGAATAAAGTTACATTAACTAATAAAAATACCAAAACTAAAATAAATATATTTTTAATCAATTCCATTATTGTATGTTATTAGTGTTTATAATCAAATAAGATAACCGGTTAATTATCTAAAACTGAATTTGACTTTTGATAACTGGTTTATTTATTTTGTTAGACTTATATATATATATATATATATATATATATATATATATATATATGTCGCTTAATTTCATAATTTCATTAAATTTCTCATGCATTAATATATATGAGAAGTATGTTCAATATAATGATTAGAAAAACTTAATGGACCCAAGTGAATGTCTATCTCAATTTTGTTTGACAAAATTACAACTTTAGCCACTATGCTTAGCATTTTTTAATTCCGACCTTTCTTCATAAATTATAATTTTTATTTATGGTCTTGGGATGCTTTTGGTCTTGTAATAGATAAATTTAAAAAAAATAGTCTGTGTGGTTGTCATAATTATATGGTTTTGGACAAAAATGTTTTGTAATAAAAATGATCCAATTTTTTGGACACCTTGTGTTTTTTGTATAAAAATATTAACTTTAACAGTTTAACTGTTAACTTTTTTAAAATAATAATTTTACATTCATAGATCATTTTACAACCAAACCATAAAGACCATTTATGCATCTATTCTTGTTGATTTTATTTAATTATTATACATTAATTCTTTAGTTAGTTCTTTTTTTAACTTCTTTTTATTGGATTACCTGTTTTCAGTGTATTATAGGATATTAATAAACATATTTTTTAATATATAATATTAATATATTAATAAATATTATTATATTGGATTATTAATTATACTTAGTTAATTATTTTTACTATTTTTTTATTATATTATTTTTATTATTGGATTATTATATATTAATAAGTATTATTTTAAAGATATAATATTTATATATTAAAAAATATTATTTTATTGGATTATTAATGTCTTTTAATTTCTTTTATATTCGATTAATTTTTTTATTGGATTATAATTCATTAATAATTATTTTTTTAATATATAATATTTAAATATATTAATAAATTAAGGTGGTGGTGGTGGCATATGTGGGAGTTTTTTTAAAATAATTTAGGATTGTGGTGGTGTTGTTCAAAAAAGAATTAATTCAACAAAAATCAAATTAAAAATTAACTAAAAGAAATTAATAGTGTAAATAAACAACTCGTTTTCATTATCCTCGTCTTGAAAATCTTCCTCTTCTTCGTCTTCATCCCCGGATCCCTCGTTCTCGTCGTCAGATATCTGGTCATACGTATTTGTAGTTGAGGCTAGTCACAATCATTCTGCACGAGTTACAGTAAATGGTGACTTAAACCGCTCTTCAACATGAAACATTTCATATGTTTTCATTTCAGCTTTAGTGACTTCAAATACCCCTCTTGGTTTTGACTTGATAACTGTTCACTTATCTTTTACACTATTAATTACCTAAATCCTTTTTCCACTTCTTCTTTATTTAGAAACTAAAAATTTTAGTATATATGCAGTGCCAATCCAACACAAGTCTTTTCTTTTAAAAAAATAATAATTTCTTAGATGTATTACCACATCCCCAAGGGTTTGGCCTACTTTTTATAGGTCAGTGAAATCTTTATGCTTAAAATCCCGATTCAGGTAGTCA